AGCCAGCGAACAGCAGGCTCCTCATTCAAGCAATCTTGTCTCCGAAGGGAGAGTGCCATGCTCAGCCCCAGAAAAGATTAAGATATCAAACAAGAGCTCTACAGCTACTCATCCGAATTTATTATTTTTGCCGAGTTTGCCCTCAGATTCTTGGAGTTCGCTCTGCGTTGTTTAGTAGCCGGCGAATAGCAGGCTTCCCAATTAACCCCTTAACCTACGATTTACGTTCGACAATTTTAGGCCGAAAACGTAAACAAGGTTTACGTACATCCCGATCATCGTACTATGGGCTATGCCTGTAATATTTACGTTTCTGGTGTCAATTTGTGCTTCGACAAAATAGGCAATTGAATTAATAATTATAGAGTTAAAAGTGTAACTGTTTTAATTTCAATTACTTTTACACAAAATTTCGAATCTTGAATTTATAATAAAACAAACATTGTTCTGTCACAAGTTAGGATTTCGATCAATTGTGAAACCACGTTTCTTGCCTTGCGTCATAGTCATCAATTACAAAAAGCAATTAAAAAATTAATTAACAATTTGTACCTTATTGAAAAACCGCGTAACCGAAGTATGTATTTAACCGGAGTATATAAGTCTGTCTTTTAAATTCAAAAATCAAAATTCTTTATTTTTGGTTTTTCGTGAATGAAACTTTGATTATTGCATTTGTTTCGTTTTTAATATAAAATAACATGCATAGCAAGCTATTAAGAGAAATTTGCATCTGCCGTAAATGTAAAGTTTGCTGTAAGTGTGAAAGTCCGAAACTATTATGGTTTGCTACATAAGTAATTATGATCGTAATTATGTCGTGTTTAGTGTCATTTTAATCAGGAAAACGAGACGAATGCGATGGTAAAAGTTTCATGAAAAAATAGTAAGAAATAAAAAAATTGCAATCTTTTCCTTTGATTGCATTAGTACTGATTTTGAAAGGGATCCCCCCAGTAGTGGGGATAAAATTTTTATTTTTAGGGTAGAGATTTCTTTCACACTTACGGAGAGAATACTGTAAAACTCAATAAGTATACGAAAAATACAATAGCAGATATATATATCTTTTATATCTTTGCAAAAGTAATTGTTAATTGTAATTCTATTTTTACCATTAATTACTTAAAGAAACTCAATTGTCAAAAGGTATTAATCTGAAGAATACAAAAAAATACTTCAAATAAATAGTGTTCCTTTTGATGAAAACTATCAGAATGAAAAATAAATTGTGCTCCATTTAATTACAAAAAAAATCAAGTACATATTTTTAATATTTTCCAAGAAAATAGCTTATAACAGGTTACGTGGTTCACCCCATATATTGTAAGAATGGCTGTGTTTCACACAAAATAGAGCAGTTTAAACTTTCAAAATACGTTTATTAGTATCGCTCGATTTCTTTCTTTGTTACCGTGTTAAAAACTAAAACCATAATATCCGTATTCATCTTCTTCGGATATTTCTTATGGGGAATGAATCCTCACTTTTTCGGGAAAATGTGACGTATTATTATATGGTGCCACGGTCAGGATGATCAGACTTTACATGCCCCCGTTATGTTGGGAATAAACTCCATCGCTTGCTCTTACACTATTAATATATGTATACTAGGGTGGCCCTTAGCTATAGAGCTCGATTTTTTTTTCGATTTTTTCATCGTCTCACCCCCTAAAATTGTGACACTTGATGAAAAAATGATAATGTCAAAGTTTCAGTATGAGTGGATAACAGGAACCCGTGCTGCAATCGAGTTGAAGTTTTGAAACTTGTACGATTTCAGGTTATCGTCAAATATGTTAGTGACCTTTTATTTTAAAAGTATCAGTGAATATTTTATAATGAAAATATAATTTTTCACACGTGTAATACTAGCGTTTACATACAATTACAACACATACTTATTTACATATTTACATACAATACATTTACACACAAATGTAACGTAGCTTTTAAGTTACCGGAGAATGTGGCGGTTCAGCAACTGGGAGCTGTATATAATTTGTACAAAAGTTGATAAATTTTTCAATAATCTCGATTGTATTAGCACTTATAAACGAATTTTTTTTAAATACTTATAAGCAAAATATTCTTTAAAGGATTTTCAGTTATGTCTTATAAATTAGCCTATTATTAAATTGTACGTAGCGTTTAATATATATTCTGTGTTAATGTAGATTTGCTTACATTAGGATAAAAGCTTTTCTAATTCTCAATTACTTGTAAAATGTATTGTTTTTCTTCTTCATTTTTGGTCAGCAGATTATTATATTCAGATATAAGTTTAACACCACATTCAGCGGTATCGTTTACCACTTTCAAATTTCTTGCAATTTCCAAACCTTTTTGATATGAAATATCATTTTTCCATAAGGAAGGGTCTTTTTCTAAGAAATCTGTAGGTATATTGTACCTGTTAAGTCATTTTTTGGATTCAGTAGAAATGAAGCTATCAATATTCATATTTACATAATTTTGTACGTTTTCCGGAAGTATTACAAGTTTCTTTGCTGAATGTTCCTTATTATCATTT